GGAAATGGGATACGTCTGAAACTTCAATAAATATGACATAACCTCCTTGGCCATACTGTTCTCCTCATCTCTGAAAAAAACAGTCTATTTGAAATAGCAGAAAATCTTTATTGAATTTGCAGTCAGCTCCCTGTTACCTTGCAATTGGGTGGTAAAATGCCCACAGGCTTCACACGGGTGTCCCCGCTCTGCCTTGCCTATTAGTGCAGTGTTGCACAGATTGGCTGGGTGTGAATAAATGGCCTGGACCCCCTGTGTTCAACAACAGGGATCACTGAGGGAAATGCAGGGTGATGCTCGCCACTACCACGTGGTTGCTGTAAGAACTGTTGTAGCCGAAACACAATTTCCACAATGTAGTGGAAAAATGAAAGCTCAGCACTGTGAGTGAGTCAGGGCTGCCAAACCTGAGGCTACAGAAAACTGCATCATCAATTTAGTGCTTGGTGCTGCAGGAACCACCTGGGTTTGCTAGGAGAGGGGCAGTACTAGAACATGTTTTCTGTCAACATGGTGCTGACAACTGTGATGGCCTTTTACCTCTCTGGCTAATGAGTGCTGCCTCTCACAGAGGCAAAGTATCACTGCCGCGTTGGAGAATAGGGTATAAAGAGAGCAGCCACAAGTGCATGATGTATGGCAAAGGTGCATGGAAGCTGCAAGCGCTCACTAGGAGCAGACCCCAGGGACAACCCCCCCCCCAACTTTGGCACCTTATTTTGTGTAAGAAAGCAGGCTGATCTGCTCAGAAGCAGCAGGGTTGGGTGGTCGCTGTTGTCCTGATGCAGCACCTCAGTGACATTTACTGAAACGAGCCACAGGGTGCTTTCCAGGCAGCAGCAGCTCCCCTGGGAGCTCAAGCATTTTGGAGAGAGCACCACAGGAATCAGATAAAATCCCTTCACAATCTCCTGGCTCTCATGTGAAGTGAAGCTCCTGCACAATGATGGCCAAGTGCTCGGGATATGCTCCAAACACTTCTTGGGCTGAGTATTCACCAAATTTGTGAAGAACTCAAAGTAAGCGTGCCAGCGTTAGATCTTATCAGACTTGGCCTCCTTCCTCCATGCCTGGTTCTCTACCTTGGACCTCGAAACAGGCCAAGCCACTGTTTCCTGAAGAAGCACAGCAGAATCAGCATGTCCTCTGCCAGCATCTGGAAAGCAATGTTCCTGCCAGCTAAATAGAGGAACTGTACTCTCTGGTAAACATGTGCATCACGCTGGTTGTATTAATCACAATGCTGTTAATATGCGGTAACCACAAGGTGACCTGTGTTTTGCAAATTTCTCCTTTAGTTTGGCCTCACAGCCGTGGTTACCTGCTAGCTAGCTTGCTGAGCCAAGGTCCAGGGCATCTGAAGAAATGCTTAGTGGCCAGGCCACTTCCAGGGTGGTCCTCTGATGAGGGCAGCAGAGGTGAGGGGCTGCAGGCCTTGCTTGCTGGACACTTTAAAAACACAGTGGCTTCCCAAGCAGAAAGGACAAGTTGCCATGCTACAAAGCTGCAAGAAGGAAATCCAAACAGATATGGGGAAAAACCTCTGTTCACCTTGAGGGTGGTTAAGCACTGGGACAGACCAGATGAGTTGTGACATTGCCATCTTTGGAGACTGCCAGACCACAACTGGACAAGTCCCTGAGCAAAGTGATCTTATGTTGAAGTTTGTCCTCCTCTAACAGTACGAATGGTTAGAAAAGCATAGGTTCAGCACTCTGACTATCCATACTGCAAGGGTGGGTTTTGTGGACTATCAAGCACAGTTCAGCACCATAAAGAAACAATTTTGCAATTTCTTTTCACAAAAGCTGTGGGCTTGTTTGGAAAAATGCCTTTTGTGACACCACCACAGACATGAAATCTGTTATTACTGACACTGGGTAATAGAATAGAATAAAACAGACTGTTTCAGTTGGAAGGGACCTACAATAATCATCTAGTCCAACTGCCTGACCAATTCAGGGCTGACCAAGTTAAAGCATGTTATTAAGGGCATTGTCCAAATACCTCTTAAACACTGAAAGGCTTGGGGCATCGACCACCTCTCTAGGAAGCCTGTTCCACTGTTTGACCATGCTCTTGGTACAGAAATGCTTCCCAATGTTCAGTCTAAACCTCCCGTCACAGCTTTGAACCTGAAGCTTCTTTGGAAACACTAAAATAGCAAGTTCTGTAAGGAAAGTGAAAACACTGATGCTTATAAAACAAAACTGGTTTTATTTTAAGGCTGTTTCTTCTTTTCTTACCTAGGCTTATTCCATTGAAGAGCTGCTCCTGTATTGAACAAAACAGGTAGGAGTCCTAAAACCTGGGAAAATAACCACAAGGATCTATTTCATTTAAGTCTGATGTGGTAGACTTCTGAAAGGCCATTTAATCCCATCCATCCAATTCAGTCCATTTGTATAGGTAAGGGCTTATGTTATCATCTCATGAGCCATAATTTCTTGATTACACGGGTGGAAGAGGGAAAACAGGACCTTTCCCTGGCAGTGCTCAGCTCTGAAAATTTGGACACAGGGGCTTACTGAGGTATGTCTGTAGGTACAAGTATTTCTGTATAACTATACTGTTGCTTTGGACTTGATGACTTTATTCTGACATTTTGGAGGTGGTTGTTACAGCAGCCAATACACTGTCTTTGGTAAGCTACAGCATCTCTGGCAGAATCCTAAAATTGTGGCATAATTCAGGTTGTAAGGGACCTCAGGAGGCTTCAGGTCAAACCTCCCAAGCAAAGCGCGGCCAGTTACAACAGGCTCCTAAGGGCCTGTCCAGTCAAGTTTTGAAAACCTCCAAGGCTGAAGATCCCACAGTTTCTCTGGGCATTTGCTCCAGTGTTTGACTACCCTCATGATGAAAGCAACTTTCCTTCCATTTAATCAGACTCTCCCGTGTTGCAACTTGTGTCTGTTGCCTCTCGGTCTATCGTTGTGCAGCTCTGCAGAGGTTGGCTCCACCTTTTCTGTACCTCGCCATTAGGTAGCTGCAGACACCAATAAGCTCTCCCCTTGGACTTCTCCTTTTTAAGGCTGAACAAGCCCAGCTCCCTCAGCCCCTCGTCTCACATCATGTCTTCCAGCCCTCTGCCAGACTCGCTCCAGTATGTCAGTTTCTTTCTTGCATTGGAGACCCCAAACCTGCATGCAGTTCTCCAGATGTGGTCTCACAAGTGCTGAATAGAGGGGACTAATAAACTCCCTTGACATTCAGCTGTGCTTTTGTAAATGCAGCCCAGTATGCTGTTGGTTTTCTTTGCATCAAGGGAAAGACACTGCTGATACATAGGAAACTCCCATCCCTGGCCCTGGCTCCTTTTATTGTAAAGCTGTTCCCTACCCACATACCTAGTGTGAATTGCTGCATGGGGTTAGCCTGCCTCAGATGCAGGATTTTGCATTTGTCTTAGTTGAACTTCATGCAGTACCTGGCAGCTTATTTCTCCAGCATCTTGAGGTCCACCTTGAAAGACAGCCCTGCCCTCCCTCTAACAACTGCCCACCCCATGCCCCAGGAGGGCAGTTGACACACTTATGTTATCACTAACCTCCCCAGACCCAGATTTGGCGTGGTCCACAAACTTGCTGAAAGTGCACTGTTGTGTCCCGCAGGTTGTTAATGAAGACATTAGATGGTACTGGCCCCAATACTGATTCCCTAAAGAATGCCTCTAGAAACTGGCTGCCAGTTCGACTATATCTAGATGGCTGGGCTCAAATGATGGTCATCATCAGTACACTTTTCACCTGTTCTAGTTAGCTATCCAGTCCATGTCATCAATTTGACTATAGGTTTTTTCAAAAAAATAAATAAAAAAACAACAGAAGAATCCTTTTATTTTCAAAGTTTGATCAATCCATGAAAGAAAGAGCAGCACATTTCTGCAAAGCCCAAATAACTGTACAGCTCATTCTGCAGATAGATTTTTCTCACCAGAAAGGAAGTGCCTGTTAAAGAGAAGGAACCAGGAAGGGAGCCAGGACCAACTGTGTCCAGCATGGTTCTGCTGGCTGGTAACTTAGAAACACATTACACCCTTCACAGTTCTCCTTCCAGTGTTGCTCTCCTTAAAAATCACTGAACACCCAGGTGAGGATCCACCTAACTACAAAGGACATTTTCGCATCCCTGTTGGATCCTATGTCAGGGCTGCCCTATACATTTTGATTTTCATTCACAGGTCCTATGGAAGAAATGGAGCAAAACTCTCCACTGGGGAATGCTGCCTAGCTGTATGAGCAGTCAGCTCTCCATTACACTTCAGAGGAAATCAGGTTGTCTTCCAGTGAGTTCCAGTCACCAAATTATTTTATTGTTACAATATGATGAAGCGATTTTTATTTTGTGCACTTCATGGTGCTCAAAATATAAGTTTTCACAGTATAGAATGGATGTGACAGCATTTGTCATGGAAGCACTCAGCAGAGTATGTTGCAACTTCATTTAGTTGTGCTGTTTTATGAAGTTCTGCAGTAAAATGTGCCAACAAATTATGTTGTATTAGTTTCTTTCTGGTGATTAACTAATCATTCATATAATAAATAGCAGCTAACTACAAGAAAGAGATTTATTTGCCACAGAGTTAGAAGAATGTCAAACTTTTCCCATTCCATGTAAAAAGGCAGAGGAAAAAATACTTCTAAAATGACTTTGCAACATGTGCTTTATTTTAAGTCATTACTGAATCAAAACTACACAATATACCCTTTTAACATACCCTACCCACTCAATGATTTTTTTTTCTCAATAATTTTTTTTAACATGGAATGAAACCTACATTGCAATTGTAAATTTTCATGCTACAATGTTCTCTAATGAGCCATTTGTGTCACTAATAATAGTAATTTAAGAAAAAGGCCATTTTTCAAGCTCAGATGCATGTCTATATTTGGGAACTTAAAAAAAACCCGTCTCGGATGTAAAAATGTGACTTGGAATATGTAAACATTTTCGTATACCTGAAACACTGGAAGAAGAATATCAGCTAACAGCAAAACAACGGTTGCCTTAAATCATCGAAATGGGAAAAAGCATGTCATGGGGAGCAGAGAGAAGCACACGCTATTCAGTCTTTAAAGGGTTATAAGAAATGAAGTAGCTCCTTAGGTCATTGAATTCACTTTCTTTTCTCATCTAATGGAAAGCAGTAACTTTGAAGAGAATGGCCCAGCAGAACACCCCAATAATTCACCATAATTATTCTAGCCATTAGTTAACCTTGACGAAGTGTCAAGTTTCAGTTGCTTTTTTTTTTCCTGAGAAAAGTCATTGATGTTTGATGGAAATGTCTTCTGTGACTGTACAAATAAAATAAGGCATTTAAAGAGATTGTTACTTATTTTCTTTTTGCTAACAGAGGCTTGTCCACAGTGTCCTTTGTACATCAAAACCTCTGCTCTTCTACAAATGGGTATGGCTAGAATGTCTTCAGTTCCCACTGCGGCCCTGGGTCTTGGGTGTCCTGAAGGCTAGTCAGCGTCCCATTACTGTAGCTTGAAAGTCAGTGATGTACAACAGCATATTGCACAATCCAATCTGTATGGCTCCAGAAAGGGTTAAGAAGGTACGCTGGAGTCATCTGTGGGTTCAATCCTTTATTTTAAGTTGTAATGATCGCCTGGAAAATTAAATTAGCCAGACAAAGATGCAAACTTTTTGTTGATTAAATTACAAAGCAGTCCCCAGATTGTAGAGGAGTGGCACATTAAAAACAACAAATCATCCAACCTTCGTCACTGTTGATCCTTAATTTGAAAGGCAGCATGGATTCCTAAGGCTTTAGCTTCCAGGACTCCTTCAGTGAAAAATCGTTGCTACCTAACTATAAAAGGCTTAGCTCTTAAGAGAATATTGTGCTTTTTTTTTTTTCCTTTAAAATTCAGATGAAATCAACTTGATTTGCAGTGTGACACCAAAGAGATCAGTTAGTTTTTTCCCTAGTCCACTTGATCATAGTCTCTGGTGAGCGATACAGGAATATTAGTTTGGCATACAGGTCTTCTTCTAGTTCCAGTTCTCCAGTCTCTCGCACTAAGAAAATGTCAGTACACAACTTCAAGATTCGGTCTACATTGGGTAGCTCCTCAAACATGATGGAGTGAGAGATCCCACTGAAAAATTCACGGACGAACTTCCCTATCACCAGGACAACCGAGGCATATAGTCCCATGATACTGAAAAGAAAAAGGAAAGAGTTCAAACCATGCCTTGAAAAAGGGTCAGCCAAGTGTGAGGGACCTCATCGACACAGCTAGTTGTAGTCTGTCAGCTGAGTGAACATTAATTTCTAATGAGGATCTTGTTTCTGCTGTGCTGCAGGAGGCAGGAAAATAAGGTCTCTTCAAACACCACAGAAACTTGGGAACACAAACAGCTGAGGCTGCTGACTTAAATGGTTTAACTCCAGTCGCTGATGGTTTGGAAGTCGCAATGGGAAATCTGACAACTGCTGGCTGCTAAAGGTAAATGATCTGACAGGTTTCATATCTAATATTTTTTATTAAACTACGTGTAACTGGTGACAGGCTAATGTTTACCTGTCCTCCCCTGATAATCCTCCTATGAGGAGTTCTCCAAAATCATGCTAGAAGGGCATATCTCCCAGGAAGGCACAGTCTCCAGCCTTCCTCTGTCTGTGGAGATGTATTTCATAACTGTTTCACAGCCAGAGTCCTGGCTACAAGACTGGGAAGGTCACCAAAACTGGGCAGAGTTTGGGCAGAACTTGACCTGTAGCTAAATTAACATCCTTTGAATGATTTTACTTCAATAGAAAATTGGTGCGAAGGGTGCTTCTGCCTTTTTTCCCACTGGAGAGCAGGTATCAAGGGTAATACGATTCCTTACAAATATGAAGCCTTCTATAGATAACATTAATAGACATTAATTTGAAAATCTCATAAAACCCCTTTTCAAAATGTTCAGACACTACAACAACAAAAAAGAAACAAAGCCCCCAAAACAGCAAATAGTCACCTCTACTTCTATCTTACCTACATTACTTTAATTTTACGTAAAGATTCCTCTTACCCATAACCAGCCAAGAATCCAAGGCTTGGTGGACTGACTTTATCACTGAATATGAAGAGTTCAAGACTCTCTTCAGATGTTTTGTATCTTTTTCCAAGCTGATTCAAAACCCACCACTCACGAACTCCCTCATCGGACACGTTTTTGACCAGAGAAACTGTAATGTTTTCCCATCTGCAGTCTATTGAAAAAAAGAAATGTTAATATAGATATACCAAGAATTGCAAAAGTCAAACTGTTTTGAGTTGGATACTTCAAATATCTGCATGATAAAATGACTGAGCAATATAGGAGTAAAGGTTCTTTATAATTCTCCTAAAACCCATTTTACATTATTTCACATGCTGGAGCGTGTTCAGAGAAGGGCAATGAAGCTGGTGAAGGGTCTGAAGCACAGGTCTTATGAGGAGCGGCTGAGGGAACTGGGGTTGTTTAGTCTGGAGAAGAGGAGGCTGAGGGGAGACCTTATTGCTCTCTACAACTACCTGAAAGGAGGTTGTAGTGAGGTGGGTGTTGGTCTCTTCTCCCAAGTAGTTAGCGATAGGACAAGAGGAAATGGGCTCAAGCTGCACCAGGGGAGGTTTACATTGGATATTAGGAAAAATTTATTCACAGAAAGGGTGGTCAAGCATTGGAACAGGCTGCCCAGAGAGGTGGTGGAGTCACCATCCCTGGCAGCGTTCAAAAAAAACGTAGATGTGGCACTTTGGGACATGGTTTAGTCTCATCTACCCTTGATTGGTTTAGTGTGGACTTGGTAGTGTAGGTTAATGGTTGGACTGGATGATCTTAAAGGTCTTTTCCAACCTAAACGATTCTATGATTCTATGATTCTACATGCATGCATGTATTTTGTATGTACCTGTATGCTTTCTGATTGGGTAACAACACTCTGAAATTCAATGATTTATCTAAACTGGATTCTTTGTAGCCAATAAGGAAAGAATAGCTAAAAAAATCATCATTCAGTATCATTATTTGAGCTGAGGATCTATATTTGCAGACATGCAGCACTACTGACTGTTTGTGGTAAGGTAGCAGGGAGATGTGGAGAAGTGAAACTTGTCACCACTTCCTCAGAAAACAATGGAAAGCAGTTCCTGAAAGCAGACTTGATGGAAAGGAGCTGTACTTCATCCTTAGGGTCCTTACTGTAAAATACAAAGCTAAAATACATCCAGGTGCATTTTCTGCAGTATAGTGTATTACCTCATCTCTCCCCAAGCTTGCAGGCACCAGGTAGAAACCATTGTAAGCACATTTCAGCCTGAGGTGCCCCATAACAGCTCAGTGAATGTGCAAGTGTGAGTGCTGTGTTGCACTCCTTTCAACCATACTCTGTTTTCCATGGTCTGGACACATACCTGTCAATAGCTGCTTTATGGGTTTTGCCAGGGAATCACTAGGAGCCTTGATGTAGTACGGGTACACTGTCTCTAATGTTCTGGAAAAAATGAGAAAGCAAATATTTCATATTTTTATACCTCTAAAATAATTTAGAAATACCTAACAGGGCTATACACAGTTCCCAGTAATTCTTGGCTTAAGCTATGACTTTATAGTGTTCAGATGTCACATCTGAAAGTTAGCTGGATTTATTAACTATGTTCTGTCAGTACTTCAGCAGGGACCTCTATCCATAATGTCACCATTCACACACTATGAATCCCACACACCTGGGGCATGTGTGTTTGCAAGGAAGGTAGACTTTAGATTTTGTTGCCCTTTTTAACAAAGCTTTTCAGCAAAAAGAAAGGCAACACATCACTGGTAGTAAACAAGCTAGAAGAATATGTAGCTAGAAAAATATGTGGTAAGAACAGTTATTACTTCAGAATTGTAAGACGTTTCAATAATAACACCTGAAAAGAGTGAGAATTTTTGCCAGAATCTTTCATTGGGAAATATTTTCACAGTTTGTAGGACAATTTCCAACTTAAAAAGAAAGATGTTTGTAAAAGTTCTTTCATTGAACTAAAAATTAAATCACCTTAAATTACCAGCATCCAGAGAGAGATATATTTTACTAAAAGCAGAGATAGTATCCTAACTTTTTCCTCAAATGACTGAAAAATTCTAGGGAAGGGGAGCTCTCAGGGAAGTCCTGTGACACTTTGCTGCACTGAATACACCAGGCTGAGGAAGAACAGAGGTGGCCAATTTAAAATCCCTCCTGATCACTCCAGCAGGCCCAAAAGATACGGGCTGCTCAGCAGCTAAGTTGTCCCAGCTGAGGTGGTGGCAGAAAGCTCCCTCCTGAAGTAGTCAAATGGCTACTAGCTGCCACAACTATTTTTCCTTTATGACAAAGTAAAAAAAGCTTAAATCAACAATATTATTGCAGCACAGGCAAATGCAGGTATGTCTTCTATGTTACTGCTTGCCTCCTGTGAAGCGAGAATTACGAATGAATTACCCCTTCCCACAAAAGAGCAAAATCTACCCTCCTTGGCACTACATCACCTTAGGAAATATTCCCGTATCCTCACACAGCAGAAAAGTAAAAGAGGTGTAAAATATTTTTTAAATGCAATGGTCAGATGTGCAACAGCAGCCTGTTTGGATGTACGTGGAGTGTGCATGCGTGAAGAAAAATAGCTGTGCACAGAAAAGACAAATCTCATTTCCACCTACTAACAGATATGAACCTCTCACAGTTTTCACTATCCCAGTTGGCCTCTGCTTTAACTTTTCAACTCTTGTGGCCACAAATCAGACCATGTGGCCTTCAGGGATGATGTGTTGGCTTAGCAGTATTTAGAGACTACTGCTGTAAAGTAATCCCCAGTGAGCAGGTGGAAGAGGAAGAGCCAGACTTCTTCCAAATCTGACAGGAGGCACCACTGCTGTTAATGCTATAAGGCTCTATCCATAGAATAATGTTTGATATTTATATGAAGAGCATGCTCTTTCTGCCTTGCGAATTTCCATTACAGGAAAAGATCTGATGTCAGAAACGGCTGCAGATGTTACCCTTTGACCGCAGTGATTTAACACTTCCTTGCCAATCTAATACTATTCAAGAAAAACAATGAGAAATTCAGTCTGGATGGTTATTTAGAACAAAAAAATCATCAATACAACATCCTCAGATCAAGTTGAACTGAAGTAACTCAAAGGAGAGGTTAGCTGTGAATATACTGTAATGAACTTGTGCTTATCCAATAAATCAAAGAAAAGCAACTAATAGCTTCACCATGCTTGTTGGTGGTGTTCCAGTGTTCATGGTCTTCTCAGCCTACATTTACCATAGGAAATAAGCTTTTAACTTCAATGTTACTATTATGTGACTTCAATGCTGTTGGCCTCTGTGAACAAGGCTTCAAAGTTATTAGATGGGCAGACAAATGATACAGTTGCACAAGCCTGACCTCCTTAGGAAGTTAGGTTTAAAAAGGGAAGGTTTGCATATGAATAGGCAAAGAAAATAACTTACACCTTTTCCAGTTGTTGTCCAGACATCATTGTAGCAATATCTCTTCTGGTGTTCTCTGGTAGGACAAAGGTAAGTTTATCTGATGCTATTTCAGCTTTGGCACCGAGGGTGAGATTTCTGTTGTAAGTAAAAGGGAAGACACATTGTTAACATACAACAAGACCATAACCTAAAACCATTTTTGCTGAACACCAGAGCTCTTTGTCTAAGTAGTCTAACTGTGCTGACCCTGGCTATACCAGTCCTTGCTAAAGCAAGCATCATTCTACCTGTACCTGTGATGGTCTGTTTTCCCACAGAGGATATGTAGCAGCCTTAAAGATGTATTTTTCTAACTGACTATGCCTTTGTATGTATTACAGGATGATGATGACAGATTAATATAATTTTGCTCATTATGTCAGTCAAAACAGAATGGGAAAGGGAAGCATGCCTGCTCTGACTTTAGGCAACAGGATCATCTGCGTTACCACACATTCTGTGCCAGGGCAGTTAAGGATGCTACAGTCAGCTACAGCTTCCCAAAACCCCACCTCAGCCCAGCAGAAACATGTGCCTAACAGGCTGATAGGACCCCCATGCCTCCCCCCAGTCTTCACGCCAGCTGCAGAACACAGCTGGGGCAGGAGCAGCTTTTGTACAATGCCTTGTGCCATGTCCTGTGGTGGGGTCGGGATGCAGCAGCTGAGTGAGGCAGCTCCTGGGCTGCTGGGGGCTACAGAGAAACAGCCCTGGCAGATGATGTGTGAAGGCAGAAAGCATGTATGCTGCTTGAGTGACACAAAAGGCTCATCCTACAGCTGCTTGTGGTCTCCTGGCCTACATGAAAGCCAGCAGGTTCCCTTTACAGAGAAAAAGTGGAAGGTCACTGTGGTAAGTCTTTACCACTTTCATTCATTCACAGAAACAATGTAATCCACAGGATATAATTTAAGGGTGAAAAAGGTCTCTTTCAACTAGTGTATGAAAGTTTGTAGTTATGCAAGCATATGGGCAAACTGAATAGCAGTATTAAAAATTAATATAAAGTTCAGAAATGATGGAGTGATGTAATTCACTAGCTAGTAGTGTATGCTTCCAGAAGAAGGGGGTGTGTGTGTGTGTGTGTGTATGCTGTCAAATAAAGTTGAGTTAAGGGTGCAGATGCATTACAAGCCTATTTTTGACTGTGGAAGGACTGACCCAGCATGTTCAGAGCTCCCACAGTGATTCAGCTGACCTGCTTCTTGTGCACAGTCTTTTGCTGAGGATTGCTATAACAATCCAGCACCTACTTTTGACAAAACAGGTAGATACTGGGGCTGCAAAGGTACTTAATTTCCGTGGAGTGATGACTTAAGTCCAGTTTAATCCAGCAGTCTACAGGGATCCCAGCTGGCAGACAGCAGCTGACAAACCACCTCTGTGACTGGGTGGAACTACTGCATGGAACTACTTTATATTCTACGCTGTCTCTTGCAAAAACTTAATTGTAAAGTAATAGTTCACTGAGGCCAAAGGAACCACAAGTAAAAAGGCAAAGATCTGGACAAAATGGATCTGTGCCATTGTTATGCTATTTGCATAACAAAGTCTCTGAGTATATGTGTATTTAAAAAATAGTTTGTTTCAGTTCCAGACTCCCTTAATAAGAGGGCCAAGCACTTCTGTTTGTATTTCCTCATAGTTTTTTTCCTTAACTAGGTCTAAGTATTCAGTGCCCATAAATGCTAACAACGTTGTTGTTTGGGGCAGTTTATTTGAACACCTCCATCTAAAACTAGCTAAAATTTTCTTACTTTTTCCTCCTTCCCCTCAAGTCCCATTGAAAACTCCACCCTGCCTTTTTGAATAATGTACTTGGAAGTGGCTCCACTTCTCTTTTTGTTTTTTGAGAACTGCAGGCAACAAATATTTTCCTGGGTAACAAAGGCCACTTCTCTCTGTCTCTCTCCCTCCCACTTTCAGGTTTTTTTGCTCTGCAGTACAATAGAATTTGCTGAAAAACTAAACAAAAAATGCAGCGTGGAACTGTTCTGCTGAGCAAATGCTTGGCAAATGATCCATCAACCTCATAACATCCATGTTAATTACCTTTGAATGCTCCATGAAAGAACTACAGTGAACTCAGCTGAAAAATCCAGCAGTCCCTGTATCATTTTCTCTCTACTGGGAGGGCTGATGGTCCATAAAGAGTTTGAATTTCCCTCTAGATCTGCTAGAGTTATATCTTCTTTTCCATAGCCCTCTAGAAACTGCAAAGCAGCCTGTAGGTGCAGAAGAGGAAAAGAAAATTTCAGTGCAGTGGTATTCACAAGACACACAGCCACATTTCCCAGTCAGGCAGAATTGTAAATGTTTGATTAATTGTAAGTGCAGTGGTTTGCACTGATTGTTTTCCTCAGGTACCAACCAGGGCTTTAAATGGGAAAGGGAATAAACAAAGTATAGCCGAGCTAAGAAGGCAAAACAAAAATGGCCCTGCTGTTTGAAGAATGATGGCCACATAGGCCAAAGTGAGTCTGAAAGTTCATCAGGTAAACTCTGTAGAGTCTATTTAAACTTAAGTTAAAATTTTTACTCTGTCTTCCATTAAGCATCTTTCTGCATAGAAAGATGTCTGCAAAGAATAATGCAACTTGAAACTGGTAACTTCCAAAGTGGATTAAGATTACAATATTACTGCTATAATACATGGGCTATTTGGTAGGATCTAATACCAAAAAATGTTAATTCTTGAATGGGCTGGAAGCAAGCACTTCTTTTAAAGTTATATCTAATCAAACCCCAGTTACTTTAGTAATGCAACAGCTTCTACTAATTACTAGTCTTTTTCCTGTAGAAACTTATGATAACTTTGTGCATGTTGCACCATGAGTAGTAAGACTATGTTTAAATGTTTATGTTTTGACATTTTAATGACAAAACTTTTCTAGGCCATACACACTTTCTTCTGACAGCACCACATCTCCTCGCTGGGAGGTGAAAGCTGTGTGTGCTATAGGAAGAAGCAGGGGCTTAAAAGTGCCAACACTGCTGTGTCCCCACGGCACGTTTGTTTTGGCAATACACCAACAGCATCACATCTCCCGAAGATTTGTGTCATTTAGAGGGGAGATTTTTATTCAGGTGACAGGACAACTAGGCTTTCTGTCTTCTGTGATTTTGTGCAAAGATGTCTTGATTAATGGTAACTTGTCTTACCATAACCCGTCCCTGCCCTGACAAATGATCTGTCCAAATCTTCACTCATGCAAACCCTCTTTATGGAAACATCTTCCAAATGATGGCAGTGCTGCTGGCCACTTATAACTACACAAACAAAACTCACAAAAGGCCTCCATGGAAACATGCACACATTTTTAAGTAATGAGGTATTCTACATTTCACTTACAGTGTTACCCCTATAGCTTCCCAGAAACGCACTGAAACCAGTCTGATTCAAATCCTTGAGCTGACTCTGTTGAGCACTCATTGTAAAAATAGGCTGGGAAACAAAAGAACACACACTTGTCACATTCACTTCACATCAGCTGCTACATACGCGGTACAGCATCCTGCGCATCACAGTCCAAGACAATTATGGCACTCAATTCAACAGAAGCAGGTCATGATCTTAGTCCACTGAGAAGCAAGCTACCTCCAATTATCTTATACTTACCTTGTGGACCTATATGCAGTTATCTGAGTGTACCTGATGTAGGATAATTTGTTCAGATCCCACTGCCAGTAGTTTCTGGTTTTAACTTGCAAAGGAAGATAATATTTTACATAGGTGATAAACTAACATATTTTTGAACACCAAAGGGATCATTGGTGGGAGCTTGCTTCATCTCTTGCATAAGGCAGGAGAGTTCAATTCAATGAAGGGAATAAGAAATAGCACAAGGAAATACAGTGCAAAAACAGAGTTTGCTTTTAGTCTTTCTTCTTTTTTACCTGATAACCTCCTAGAGTTATTGTGATTGATACATCTAGAGGCTTGTTGGTGATGCCTGCAACAGATTTGATTAAAGACATGAAGAGCAGTGGGAACCAGACAATACAAATCAGCAAGACGATAATCATGCCACCCATTCCATACTTCACAACTTTCTTTTTCTTCTGGCCTCTTGGTTGGGGATATCTCTGCAAAAGCAAACAGCAACATGGTAATGTCTCTTCTATCAGAGGTACACTTGGTATGATTAGATGGGTAAATATATATCAGTCTTAGGGCTTCCCATCATCTGTGGTCATTTGCTACCCGTTGTCAGGCTACTTATTTTGAGATTTTTAGCCAAACTTGCACAGACACTGAAATTCCGGTGACAACAGAGAACAGTGCCAAATGAACCCATGACAAGTGTGTGTATGCTGTGAAAAATATTGTAAAACTCTGTGGTTTTGATTCTTCACAGCCATAAAGAAGGGAAAAATTGGGTAGGGTAATTTAAATTTTTTGGCTGAATGAGTGCAAGCATGAACTCACAGGAACCAAACATAAAATAATAGCAGCAACAGTGATACAAAAATTTGTTCAAAAAAATTATATTGGGAGTGACCCACTTTCTTGTATTTGTCCTTCCAAAAAGTTTTATCTCAAAGCTCCTTAAAGCAGAATTCCTCTCATAGATCTTGAAATGCTGCAAACTGTATTTCAGGGGGAAAAAACATACATTTGTTTGCCAGCAACTGACATGCACAATCAGTAGGATTGTCTGATATTGCACTACCTCCACATTCATTTCACACCTCACATACAGTATTTCTAAGAGTTATTCACAAGCTTGATCCAATCTGTTTCTAGTGAATCCCACACCAACTGCATTTAAATAATGTTCAGAGTTTCGTTGCTGTTCCTGAAGTCTTGACACTGCTGATGTAACATCCTTCCCTTTCTTAGCTTCTAAGACCAAAATTGACATTGCTTTTAACCTTCTCTTTTCAAAGCAGATCACACAGCATGTCTGTTGTGCCTTGTCCATAATTCCCGCCCGCTGTTATTGGCCTCATGATCGAATACTTTAATAGCTTCACCATCCTGTAAAATGCCTTACCATCACTGTAATATTTTTTGGTGTATTCTCTTATAGGATTCAACTCCACATAGTGTTTTAGGATCCTGTCTTTCACACACTGCATACTGTATGTGCAAAATAAAGATGCATTGTACTGCACTGCACCTCAAACACACGCCAGGAATCTGGCTTTCAGGAAATTTTTCTTGCTTTACAACATGAATCCATAAAGCCCTAGGAGAATATTAAATTTGTAATACAATGCTATATTTAAAACAAATTAGTTACTTTTCAAAAGCAGTCATTTGTCTTGCACTACAGAATACTGTTTTCATTAAAATATCATATCAAGATCACCAGGGGTATATTATTTGTCTGTATGAGATTAATTCAGGCACCTTTAATGATGTTACAGAACAGCTCAGAGAGTCTCTAGCAGTCAAAGTACTTAGGCATACCACTCAATGTGAGAGAGAGACAGAGAGAATCAAAGTACCTTGAACAAACACTCATAAAGTCATGGGTAGTTATTTTGCTATGTGGCATTAGCATACACATGCTAGCTTAGATGTGGAAATCTTCCCACGTCAGAGCTATGCTACATATAATGCAGGGTGATCCTGTTGTAGCATAAAAAAATGCGGTGAGACGGACAGTCAAAGTAGAACTGGATTATTATTACTCTGACTCCTGAAGCCTCTGATGACACTCCATTCATGGCAGAAATGGAAGTCATACAGAAAAAGCCTATATACAAGATTTGTGTGCACTTCAGCTCTGAGTTAATCTAAGTGACATACTTGGAAAGTAATTGCCATTAAGAGACAGAATTATAATAAAAGAGAAATACGTCAGTAACACTTAAAAATACAGCCATTTCATTGCAGATGTACAATTTCTGACTGGTTGGGTCACTCTTAAAAGAATGCTTAATTTCTTTTTCAAATTGGCAAAATAAGCAAGCATATGGTTGCAATCTTTATAGCGGTTATAAGGAATCCAGAATTTGCAAGTTTAATTTGAACTGAAGCTTAAATGATTTAAAGAGGCTGAAATTTCAGTCAGACAAATGGTGGGTCTATCTGGCCCGCAGTTCAGTTCTGGATGTGCGGGGACTCTCCCAAGATAAAGGAGCCAGCTGAGTTCCCTCTGCGGTTACATGAACCAGGTGTCCCTGGGACCTACACCGTGGAGGCACAAGCTCTTCCTTCTACCAACCTTTCTCTTCAGCTAGTTTCCCTGCTACTGCGGGTTACTCATTTAGTTGTTGTGGACAAAGTGAGCCTGTGTGAATACCAAGACGTTCAACCCTGGCCTTGAAACTCAGGCATGCAATTAAGTTAGCAGGCACATGCTTGTGGAGTTCACGTTAACAGTGGAAAAATCAGCTAGGCACAAAAAAGAAGCCATTTGAAATTTCACTTATGGTGACTGCCAACTAACATAAAGTACCCAACAGTCTGAATATTTCTGAACATAAACACCAGGTGTATCTTCTAACAAACTGTCTTTATGGTGGATTTCCCAAATATTTAGGGACTTGTGATTATTTCTTTTCATTTCTGCATGGGGGAGAGGAGGCCTGGATCACTCATATGGGACTTCCTTACTTTTTCTGACTCTCGCCAACACTTCAGGATGAATATATGAGCATAGATATCTTCAACACAGATCCAGCTGGAAAGACTGAGAGTGGTATCAGTCCAAACCCAGTCCATTACTGCTCTCAGCTCGGTCAAAAATGGAACGAGGCGGAACCTGAAGGGAGACCACAGCAGATAAACTCGTCAGAAATGGGGGGATCGTTAGTAAGTGTATATATGACAAGAAGGGGAAATAAGCCAATGTTAAAAGACAGTTTAATGGGAGATTTTGCAAACACAAATACAGTCATATCCTGAGATTACATGGCTAGTACTGATATTCTGGGGGATGGTATCTTTTGCCATAGCTCATGTTCCCCTAGATCTCCTTGTCAGGCCATAAACACTCTTTTCCATCCTTATGCCAGTAATTGTGATTGAGCCACTGATGAAATGGTACAAGAGAGATTTTCTTGTGTCCCCAAATTCCTCAGACCTGGGAGTGGAGTAGACGAACATCCTTTCCACAGAATGGTGGGAATTTGTTTTATGCCTCCTTACACCAAGTGGTGCACGGATTCTTTGCAGTAGGTGGGCAGTCCTCATATGCATATGGAATTGGGTGTTATGACTAAGGATTAAGCAGCAGAAGAAGGTGGGCTAACAGGAAACCAACATGCATATAGCAGCTGTTCAAAGTGCATCATTCCCTTTACTAGTCCCACACTTTTCTGCCTGGCCAGGTCACAAAGACTATTTCATCTGAAGAAAGCTTTCCTCTGTAACTTTTTCTACTGGAATGCAACAAGCCCATAATGAAAATATTGGGAAAAGGCTGAAATTATTCCAGCTTTTCTGTGAAATATGTATATGTTTTGAACTGGCTTAATCACAACATTATGGTAACAGCATAAGTGGAGGGTGGGGTATACCTCCTTAACACCACCTTTCACTCTGAGGTGACGCTGTGCCTGTTACTTGCACTAAGACTCCTAACTCCTGAAGAGTTTCAAATGTGCAGCACTTCTCAAAAGGTACACAGAGGAAATATATTTTGATGCATAGCTCTTATTTCTCATGTGTATTGTCTTTCACTTTATTCTTCTCACTGGCTGAGGTAGAGCCGGTAGACCTGCTTCAAAGATCTCTTTGGAATTTGATGCCTTACTGCTTTTTAGGACTGCAGAACAAATAACTTCACCTGTTTTCTACCACAATGTGTAGCCCCTATCTCTGTTCACAGAGGTGATTTCTTAGAAGTGTTAAAAGTGTCTCTTCCACAGGGTCCTGAATGGCTGACTGGTATGTCACACTTCAGGATTCAGAGTGGGAGACTGGTTTTTCTGAAATTTACATTCCTGAAGTTGATTTTTTATGGACTACAGAAGACATATGGCATATACAGTGTGCTGTGCAAAATTTACTGTCTCATTTCCAGCAGCCTATGAAAAGAAGTCACGAATAACCTCAGCATCTCATGATAACAGAACCTTATTTCACACAAGAAAGGAGGAGGGCAGTAGGTCTAGACTTACCCTTGAAATAAGAACAGGTTGACATAGTTATAACTTTTTGTGAGGAAGTTGCCAAGAACACGAGTTGGATATCCGCAGCGTATCTGATATGCCGATAAGCCAAAATAAACACATTTCACAAAATACCAGAGCTGGGCAACTGTGTTCTGGCTAAATTTCCTGTAATGGAAAAGACAGATAAAGGAAAATGATGAGCTTTGTATCTGTGTACGACCAAATTAGCTTGAAATGTTTTGTGCTCCTGGCAGTTTCCCTTTCCTGACTTCCTGTGAAAAGCCCTTGGTTTCTGACCCCACCACAGGATTAATATAGTATTTGAAAGATGCTGGACGAGAAAGCCTATAAACAGCATCTGTTGTCACCTCAGGGTCACAGGGGAGAGACTGGGAATAGGCTTCTCAAAGAGTGAGGGCTCTGGGGCAGTGTCTTCTCCCTCCAGATGCTAGAGGTGCCTTGCTGCCCAACACAGGCCAGTATGCCCTCAGCCCCTACGATGGCACATCCCTCTGTGAGCCCTGGGTAGGTAGACACTGCTTCTCTTGGCTTTTCAGAGGGCTGACATCTGGACTGAATATAGGCAGCTTTAATGCCTATTTGTGTTCACAGGAGCACCTCCAAGGTCGTGAACTCATACAGGAATTTAAGTTGGAGTGACCTCTGAAGATCATCTTTTTCACCCTCCCCTACTTGAATCAGGTCTAATTACACCAAATTGTTCAGGGACCTGTCCACTTGAGCTTTGAATATCTCTGAAGATGGAGATCCCACAACCTGTCTGGGCAACCTGCTCCAGTGTTCGACTACAGTCATGGTGAAAAGATTTTTCATCATATCTAACTGGAATTTCGCTTTTTTCCAACTTGTGGCCTCTTGTCCTATCTGAAAAGAGCTTAGCTCCTTCTCAATGCCCTCTTAATAGGTAGCTGAAGACAGCTCTTCACTTTCTCTTCTCCAGACTGAACTAACCCTGTTCCCTCAACCTCTCCTCACACATCATGTGCTCCATCCCCCTGACCATCTTGGTGAACATGTGCCACTTCTGACTACAGTTCAATAACATGGTGGAACTGCAGGAGATGCCTCATGATGGACAGGATTTGTGAGCCAGATGTGATCCAATATTTTCAATTACATCCTGCAACACTATTTTCATTAAGAAATTTGCAATGGCTTCTAAGAATCAGCCTGACTTAGAAGGAATACAGGAGGTTTCAGATGCAGATTTGAGATTAACAACTTCATAGAAATTTCATAAAAGCACAGAAAAAGTAAAAACAATTTTATTGCCTTTCAAGTGACCAAATGAAGCTAAAAGGTTCATATTAATTTTCAATGTGCAGTAGATAGGAGATCAACTTGAAAAATGCCTTTTTTTTTTTTTTTCAAGTTGGGCCACAATTACTAGTGCACCGAGGAAAAATAAAACATTTGTTTCTGAGAGGAAATGAGATCTTTCAGTCTTTCCTTACACTATGCACATATTTTGTTTTTTCCCAGTAAAATAACTTGACTGTTAACAAAGTGTAATGTGCCCATGTGACACAATTTCCCTGTATAGTCAATGGAGTGAGGTAAAAACTTAAAGGCAATTTAAAATCCTAAGTAAAAGGGGAGTTAGTTAGTCAAGCACTAGAGAGGGAACCTTAACACCTCTGCAGTGCAGACTGAGGGAATAACTGCCTTGAGCCATGCAATGAGAAATGTTAGATTTGGGGGTGAATCTGACCAGGCATGTGATACAAGATTTGACACAGCACGTGACCACTTCCACATCGCCTCCAGAGCTGTGTGGCAGGAGCAGGGAAGGAGAACTTTTGCTCTTCAGAAGTGACATGGGGTTTAGACATACTTCAGTCTAAGGAGATTTATATCCACAGTTCACACATTTCAGGAAAGTGCTAAATTATAAGTTACTCTGAGGGAGACATTTTCTACTCACTCTTCTAAACCAGAGTGCAGCAGTCTTGGGAGTAGGGAACTGAATCAGAGGCCAACATTGTCTCAGGTGAGGGCTCTAATCACTCAATTACAGGCAAGTTCTCTTTCACCTGCTTGCATTTTGGCCTAAGTTGAGAGTATTTCTGTACATACTTATATAATTAATTCTTCTTCAAACTTACGTTGGCCACAGTTATTGCACTCCAACATTCTGCTTAGGAATGAGACCAAGAAGAAACCTGTTCATGATTCCAAAGCTTAGCTATAACCATCTCAAATTTAAATACAAACAACTTGGTAGAGCATCAGTATTCAACCCATATTGTCTGATTATAAGGGTTATACCTTTCCGTCACTCCAGGCAAGATAAAGAACATCCAGAAATGTATTCCAAAAACAAGGATAACCTGGAAGATGACCTTTCCCATGACAGTCTTTTTGAGGTACAGTGCTCGATCTACCACCATGGTACCAAACTGAATGAGCACCATCACCAAAAATGCCTCCGGGACCTGGTCCTCTGATAATGAAGAGGTGATATCTGCTGCTGCAGAGTGTTTCTGAAAAGGAAAATATAACAGAGTGGTCGAGGAAGGAGGATACTCACATGATACTTAGCATCTACAGGGCATAAATCCTACTGAGGATTTACAGATAGATGCCTCTGTGACATACCCCAAAAGCCCAAAATCCAAACACAATGATGATGAAGTCCACTGTATCTGCGAGGAACATCAGCACATAAACATCAGTCACCGCACTGTAGTCTGGATGAATAAGATTGTAGAAAAACTGTCTGATGGGCACATACACCTGGAGGGTCCTAAAACAATATAGACCGCAATGTGATTTAACAACACTGTAACTCTCACTGAAGAAAAGAATGGCTGGGTGTGATATGATTAATGTTTCTAAAGATACCTAAGATCTACTCTGACAGCCTTTACAGGGCTTCACAGACACCAGTCCCTTGTTCTGATTGCTTCTAAACTACTGTATTAGCATTTGTTCAGTAGGAATATACATAGCCAACCAAGTTCACACAGGATATTTAGCTTTTTTTATCAGGCAGATGCTATTGGAACAACTGCTGATTTGTCTGATGTTCAGCTGGTGGGACTTAGGGTGAAAGCACCCGCATACAGTGAACTGCAAACATACCCATTCATCCCCTTGAATTAACAGTAGTAGTAACCTGCTCTCCTTAAAATGCTGTTTTACTGCTTCACTGTTTGGAACCTCCCCCCAAACCCACACAACTCCTCACATTGCTCACTTTTTAATTGTAAAGGCCTTGGCTTTGATCATTTGTTCTCGAAACTTTTCCATAAGAAGTTCTTTTCTAGACTTTTGCTTGATGCTTAACACACTGCTTCCTTTCTGACTGCTGTTTCGTGTACTGGTACTTCCTGAAAAAAAAGG